GAATCTCAGTTGACTGAAGATGAAATAAAGAAAGAAATTTGTATAGGATCTGTGAAAATTCCAGGAAGATTGAGAGCAGAAAGGACTACTTGTGTTCCTGAAAAATTAGAGAAGCCTCCTCAAATAGTCCCAGTTCCACTTGAACTTCATAGTGTAGTCTCACTTAGTAATGTGCAGGTGCAACCAAAAGTCCGTAAGATCCGAAAACACAGGAAAGAAAAAGAAGAAAGAAAATACAAAAAACCAGTTCGGAAATCTCTGGAATTTCCAACTAGTTATAGTCCCTATAGACCATATAGATGTGTGCATCAAGGTTGTTTTGCAGCTTTTACAATACAACAGAATTTAATTCTTCATTATCAAGCAGTGCATAAATCTGATCTGCCATCATTCTCTGTAGAGGCAGAAGAAGAAAGCGAGCCAAGTAAAGAGGATGACTGTACTAAAGAAGAAGATTGTGATGAAACTGAAACTAGTTTAGCTGTTAAGGAATTTAGATGTGAGGTGAGAAATTGCTCTAGAATATTTCAGGAAGTAACTAGTCTTATTCAGCACTACATGAAGCTTCATGAAATGGCCCCAGAGGAAATTGCGAGCATGAAGTCAGCCCTCGATGTTGGAAGATTCCCTTGTGATCAGTCCGAATGCAAATCATCATTTACAACATATATTAATTATATTATTCATCTTGAGACAGATCATGGAATAAAGATCAAGCAAACCAAAACAGAGGATGGCATGTACAAGTGTGATTGTGAAGGTTGTGACCGCATTTATGCAACAAGATCTAATCTCTTAAGGCACATTTTTAATAAGCATAATGACAGGCATAAAGACCATTTAATAAGGCCAAGACGGTTCCTGACACCAGGTCAGGAAAATATTTCAAGCAAAGCTAACTTGGAAAAAACTATGAAAATTAAACACAGAGGACTAAAATATAATAAAGCAGGAAAAAATAGAAACAAAATTTCAATTAGGACCAAGCGGAAGAGAACTATTACTGTAGAAAATAAAAACTCAAAGGTGGGACAGATTGATGAAAATAAGACCTTTTCTTTGAAACGTGGAAAACATGTGTATTCAATAAAGGCTAGAAATGATGCCTTATCTGAATGTACAAGCAGATTTATCACACAGTATCCATGTATGATAAAAGGTTGTTCATCGGTTGTCACAAGTGAGAATAATATAATAAGACATTATAAATGTCACAAGTTGTCTAAAGCATTTACCTCAAAACACAAAAGTATCCTAATTGTCTCAAATAAGCATTCATATTCATTGGATAAAGAAGCATCTTCACAAAATGAAGTTATTGAGGACAAAAAAAGTGAAATAAAAGAATTGCAGCCACATTTGTCAGAGAACTGTGAGGATTTAAGACCCTCTACTCCAGTAACACAGAAAGAGCCTGAAAAAGATGAAAAGGATGAAGTAGATGAGCTCACAGAACTGTTCATTACCAAACTTATTAACGAGGACCTCACAAGTACAGAGAACCAAGCAAAGCCCTCTTCTGATGTAAATAGCAACTTACAAGAAACCAGCTCTTGCCCTTCAGAAAAGCAAAATGTAAATGGTAATTTAAAAAGAGCATGCAAAGAAAAAAATTCCTCTCAAAACAAAAAAAGGAAAGTTGAGAAGCAGGATGAAATACCAGCTGTTGAACTGAGTGATCTGCACAGAGAGGAGGAAACTGCAGTTGCAGTTCAGACTGCTGAAGAACATCCTGCGGCTTTTGACTGGAGTTCATTTAAGCCCATGGGATTTGAAGTATCTTTTCTTAAGTTCCTTGAAGAGACTGCTGTGAAGCATAAGAAAACTACAGAAAGAGGCTTTCATAGCTGTGGAACCAGAAAAGGTTCTTACTCAAACTCACGAAAATCTCATGAAAAGAACTCTTTGGCCAAAAAACGGTCATGTTCTGAAAGTGAAACCCATGTACAGTTTGCTAACGCTTCACGATTTAACTGTAGCGGTACTGTAAAAATAGTTTTAGATAAGACTTTTAAGGATTGCACTGAGCTTGTGTTGAAGCAACTTCAGGAAATGAAACCTATTGTCAGTCTGACAAAACTTGATGGACGCTGGGAGGCAAATCCAGAGGTTATAAAATAATCGGGTAGTATGAGTGGACTTATAGTACTGATAATTAGTGTGTAAACATGACCTGTACTACACTTTTTATTGCGTAGGAAGTCATCAAGCATGATACTGTTTTCTAAGGTTTTCTGTTGAAGTGATTTAAACTATCAAAATCATGACAATTGTCATGTGAATTTCTTTGTTTTTATCCCTATGGGACTCAAGGAACAGAATCGTTTCAGTTTTGTAAATAACTGATCAAAACCTCAATTTTTTAAAACAAATTTGTCCTTTCCATGACTGAAATCTTTGTGAATTGTCTGTGGTATCTTTCACTGGGTCACTGCTCATATATAACAGTACTTTTTATTTGTAGATACACTTTTGTATATATTTATTATTGTAAATCATTTGCTGCCACCAGCAGTCTGTAAGTCTGAAATATTAAATGACACATTTATATTCAGAATTTTAATTTGTAATTAAGTGATCCAGTTTTTAATCTTAAACTTTTTGAAGTAAAGCCTAGGTAAGTCTACCATATCGAGTTTATTTTGCATAAAATATCTGTATGGGAGAGGAGTTTGGTCAGACCACACGTAATTAGTTAAATACATACGGACACTGTTTTTGTAACTTTAAACATCCAGTAGCATTGGATGATACTCATATGTAGTTAACTCAGTTTTTATCCTACAACTGCATTTACATTGCTTTTAATCGGATCAACAACTCTTCCACTTCCATTATATAATGGAATTGTAAATTTTAAATAGTTTGCTGACATTGAGGATTTAGACCACATTTTGGTATTGAATAACCCATCGTGAATGTGATAGAAAACCAGTAGTGTGGCGCAGTGTATATATTTGAGGTGTTGATTTGTGAAGTAGCCCAGTATTGCCTTAAATAAACTCACATTTCATTTCTTGTTTTATACGTTATCTTATAAAAGTCCTTTTTGTTTCTGTAGCTAGCATCTACAGTACTGCTTTGGACACAGTGTTTTATAGGAACTGATTTTTAAACATATTGAATATACTGTCTTGGTATCTGTATGTAAAATATTTAACATAACTTGGGGACAGCCCTAAGGAGGCCTGCATGGAAATGCCCAATTTTATTCAGTGGGGCTTACTCCCAGGAAAGTGTTCTTAGGATTGCAGCATAAGTATTAGAAAATGAAGTGCTTAAAAAAAAGAAGCAAAATTGTGCTCTTAAGAGCAAAATCACATGGCTTTATTCAGTAAATGAGATGTTTTATCTACTCATTACCAATAGGGAACTCGGGTTACTTCTGCTATTATTAGTTGGAATTTTGCCATTAACCCTAACAATATGTACACAGAATGTAAATGGTCTGTTTTTGCTGGATTGAGCCTAGGGGAGAGGGACCGTATTTTCCCCCACCACCTTCCTTTGTTCTAGCTCTCCTTGTATTGTGGCATTCTTATTCAAGATGTCATTACAGTGAGGGTATAAGTATAAAGACAACAGTCCTGAGAGTCTGACCCATAAATCAAGCAGTCGCCAAGACTTACAAAGAAAAAGCTTCCTATGTATTACGATCTAAAGCACTACAACATTGTTAATAAATCATAAGAAAATCCTTGTGCATAGGTACATAATCAACGTCATCTACGGATTATATAACAAAGTTTCAAAATTGGATCTTCCTCAAGAGATATTCTGTAGTGTACAAACATACAATTCTTTAGAATATATACTATGTAAACAATAGAAAACAGTATAAAATCCTGGTGCAGTCTTACAGAGTAGTAGAAAAGCTCTCTGTTTCATAAAGTGCTTGACGACAAGTCATAAGGAATCTGTAATATAATAATGTTCCTCTTGTTATGAAAAAATACAAGGTATTTTAAGTTACAGAGTGTTTTAAAAATTAAGCCAACCTAGTAGTAACTTACACTACATTCAGATAAGACGCTGATCTCAGTAAATGTTCAGGCTCAAATTAATTATGCTCTGTTAGGAATCACTAGAGGGAGATGCCTGGGATCCATTAGAAGCTTAGCAGCATATTTGAGGTCTCCTGAGGAAGATCCAATTTTGAAACGTTATATAATCCGGAGACAACATAGATTATGTACCTATGCACAAGGATTTTCTTATTATTTATTAATGATGTTGTAGTGCTTTAGATTGTAATACATGGGAAGCTTTTTCTTTGCAAGTCTTGGTGACTGCTTGATTTGTGGGTCAGACTCTCATGACTGTTGTCTTTATACTTATTTTCTAATTGGGTCGTGTTTGTCCATATTTATCTTATTACAGTCAGGGTGCCACTCCACTACCCATGGGCAAAATGGAAACCTTCCAACAATCCTACAGTTCTGCGTGGGATGAGAGTAGAAACCTATTCTTATCTTCCATAACAGCAGTAAAGATTTTCATTCTGGCTTTGAAAAACCTCCTTATGAGAATAACTTTGGTTTTTTGTGTGTATGCATACATACCTGGACATACATGCCATGAATTGAACAAGTTCACCGAGAGGGTCTCTCATTCCCCATAGGTTCCTTCAGGGGTTGACAGCAGGGTGGGGGGGCTTGAGAGTGAAATATGGCTCAAGGGATACAGCAAGAAAGGAGAAATGAAAGAGTTTGTGCAAGAGTGAAGGGATGGTTTGTTCTGCACCCATTTTCCCCTGCGGGGCTTCCTCAGGAGCAGCTTTTTGAGGGGGCTACAGGGGGAAGGGTTAGGTCTGTTCTGTGAATTCCTTCCATGATGTAGTTCACGTGGTCCAACCCAGTATTCCCGATATGAACTGCAAAGGGCTGTCTCAGTGGTGTAGTGCCAAATAGATTGTGAATGAAATTGTTGATAGAATGAGTCACCTACAATTTTTGTGCTGCAGACTTTCTATCACTTGACATTACCATCTCAGTACTAAATATTTCACTTTGCATTTTTTATTTTCTCTCTCTGATGGTTAAATGTGAACAGTAAATGGAGACGAAACCTGCTTTTTAAGATGGTGTTAACTGAAGGAACAAATAACTTTTGCAGCAGGTGCCTTCATCTTAGCACTTGGCATGATCCAATAATACGAATTTTCCTTAATCTCTTGTACTCTAATTCATTCGCCGTCTCTACTCAAGATAATTTCATTACAAAATTTATACCCCACCTTTCTGCCCTCATCAGGGCTACCAAGGCAGCTAACAGATGGAAAACATACATAATAAAAACACATCTTACAAACCAAAACATCAAACAAGAACACATCAAAAACAAGCTAAGCATGCATGCAGAAACAACAGTTAATATGTACAGCAGGAAGGGGAGGGGGGATCACTGAAGGAATGCCAGATGAAACAAAGTCTTCACCTGCTGGCAACAGAAGGGGACAGGCAAGTTTCTCAGGGGAGAGAATTCCAGAATTTTGGCATCATGATGACCAAGAAGATCCTCTCCTGGGTTGTCACTACCTAATCTCAGGAGGCAGTGGCATCCAAAGATTCTTGCCTTATAGTCAAGATTTATGGCTGGAACATACTAAATATGTTGTAGTAATATTGAGTAGAAGTAGAGAGCACTGCCTATGGGGGCTGTCTGAGGATTGTGTCAATATAAAGCTGCAGACTGATAAATTGTGAGATGTGATGCTTTAAAGTATTGTTCAGAAGTTAAAATGTATATCAACTTTTTATAATATTTGGTGGTTGAAGCTAAAATATTTCCTAACATCCACTTACAATATATTATTTGTATTTTGTTGCCCCTGGAAATAACTGATGATGCTCAGATACCTTATTGTCAAGTTTTTATTTGTAAAAAATGTCTTTGTGTTTCAGTTGTAAATTGCACGTGAGTATTTTGATGTTTTCTGTTACAAAACTGGTTTTCACTGTGACTCCAGGAGATGTGTAGTGAACATTACTGAATTTAGTTTAGTTTGAAAAACTGAAAATGGCTCAGTTAGACTATTGCTCTAATTCAGTAAATGCAGAAGAGAGAGATTTAGTTTCCACCATTCTCAGCCTTCAAAGAGGGTGAGTGTCTCTTAATCATGAGTGGTATTTTTGGAATAAGGTTTGCATCCCACCTCCATGTGTGTTTAATATACAGAAACTCAATGAAATAGCTCTTAGGCCTCACTTAAATCTTCACGGGTGCCATGAATGCTGTTCATGGAAGGAGAGCATGACCTGAAAATGAATCTGCTGCTTCAGCAGTGTTCAGCTTCCTGTATGTAGGGATGGGCACGAACAGGAAAAATGCTGTTTGTGTCAGTTTGTGGCTGAACCACAAACTGAACCGGGTGGTTCGTAGCCCCGCAAACCCTGTTGAAAGGGACCACAGTTCCTGTAAATGGGGTTTGCAGAAAGCATGAAAAACACCTGAGCAATGGGGAGCAAACTGCTCCCCACCACTTAGCTGTTTTTCTTGCTTGTGCTTCCTGCAGTTCAGCTGTTTTTGTGGCTTTTGCAGGGAACAGAAAGCAGGAGTTTAAAAGGACTTGAAGTCCCTTGGCTCTATCCACAAACTTCTTTAAAAGCTTGTGGAAGTTTGTGATGGTAGACCTGTCATGAACTTCGGTTTGCGAACCACAAACAGGGCAAGATTTTGATGGATTTTGCTTTGTGATTCAGTTTGTGCCCATCCCTACCTAATTGCTACTTAGCAGTTAGTGTGCCCAGTATTAAAAAAACCAATAAATAATGAAAAAATAGGTTATATGTGTAGAATCATGCAGCTAGAGCAATTTGTTTTTCCGTAGCAGCAGGACCCAGATTTTAACTTCAGCTGAGGAATTTGGAACAAACGCCACCAGTTGGGTAAATGATAGACAATATTATTTGCTCCCAAAACCTTTTTCTAGGTAGCAGCTGTTATGCCACACCATTCTATAAACAGGTTTGTGTTAGTGATCAGGAAAGGGCAAGAATGTTCATAGTGTGCAGTATTCTGGATTATGCTGCATTGGAGAAAATGGGTGAAATTGGGTTATAAAGTTATGGTAAGTTTTTAATGAATGCTGAAACAATGATGTGGGTGTCATGGTCTTGGGCACTCAGCATCAGTTTCCTGTGGCGACCTCAACGGTATAATGACACAGAGCTTACTGTTTTCTCCAGGGGAACTGATCGCTGCCATCTGAAGAACAGTTGTAATTCTGAGTGATCTCCAGCCCTCCCCTGGATATTGGCAACAATAGTTCATCAGGAGGAAATGGCTGGTTTGGAGGGTAGAGTCTATGGCATTGTACCTATTTTGGAGGAAGCAACCCTATCTTCTTCCCAACCAACCATCAGCATACCGTTATCTAGCCCTCTGACTTCAGCTTTCCATGACACACACACACCTGGAGCCTCTTCCTAGGAAAAGCACAGTCTTTCTCCTCAGTGGGGAACCAAGCAGGAGGGAAAGCAACCTCAGCAGGGTATAATGACTCAGAGTCCACCCTGCAAAGCAGCCATTTTCTCCAGGTGAACTGATCTCAGCTGTCTGGAAGAGCAGTTTTAATTCTTAGTGATCTCCAGCCCTCACCTGGAGAATGGCAGCAATAGTTCCCTTGGAGGAAATGGCTAGTTTGGAAGGTGGAATCTATGGCGTTGTACCTGTCTGACGTCCCATCACTCCTCAAACCCCACCTTCTCCAGGCTCCACCCCTCAAATCTCCCGGAATTTCCCAACCTGAAGTTGGCAACCCTATCTCCTTCCCAGCCAACCATCCTACTGTTATCTGCCCCTGATCTCTACCATCTGGAGAGCAGTTTTAATTCTGAGTGATCTCTAGCCCTCACCTGGAGATTGGCAGCTATGGTTCCCCAGGAGGAGAAGTACAGTCTTTCTCCGTAGTAAAGACCAAAGCAGCTTTCATCATTCTCCTCTCCCCCTTTTGATCTGCACAACAACCCTGTGAGGTAGGTTAGTCTGAAAGTCTGGTTTGAAATCACCCACTCAACTTCCATAGCAACCTGGGTCTAGCGGACCCTGCTATGAAGTGCTAACCTTGGATAGCCAACCTCCAGGTAGAGCCTGAAGATCGTTATATCACAACTGAACTCCAAACAAATCTCCCCCCCCCCCCGAGAAAATAACTGTTTTGAAGGGAGGGCTGTATGGCATTCTATTCAGCATCTCCCCTTCCAAAACTCTGCCTTCCTTAGGCTCCACCACAGAACATCCAGGAATTTCCTAACCTGGAGCTGGCAACCCAAGTCAGGACTGGCCCCAATGAGTTCCCTACAAAGGCCTGGAAAGGGCTTCCTTCCTTTGCCTTTTTACTGACAGAACCAAGCTTGGTTGCCTAGCAACAGCCACTGAGTTAAAAGTCCCACAGGAGCCAAGAAGGAGAAGTTTCTTCATCAGGAGAGACAGCCATTTTGACAGTTTATTCTGTGAGGGAAGAGTGTCAAGGCTGTCAGTGGGCAGGGGAGAGGAGTGGACCCAGCCAATGGCACATGAGTACTCTTGAGTGGCAGTTGATGGGCCAAGGGCTGATGGAGCCCACTGCACAGTCAATGGGAAAGCTGGAAATGGCCAATACGTAAGGGAAATATATATATAAGGATAAGTATGTTTAGGATTGCAGCATTTAATATGTATTTGTACCTTTCCAATATATTTTGAGATGTATCTTCGTTTCAAATATGGCTTGTATAGTACATTTTTCTGAAGGGGAAACCCCAACGATCCCATAACAGAGAGCAAAAGGTGCAAATGCAGTGTACCTATGCCTACTACTTGTGCACAGCGCAGTATGAATTTAACACCAGTCGACATCAGGAAAGATTATGACTACAGGAGATAGAGGCCTCATGCTGTCTGGTACATGAGAACATCTCAGAATCAGTAGCTTGATCTTGGTTGTTTCAGAGTAAACAGTGTGTTTAAAAAGGACAAATATTGATACTGAAAAGTGGCATCTTGTTTTCAGAACTTGTCCTTAATCCAATATCTTATCTTGAAGAGCAGACGAGGTAAACATGTTCTGCTGAAGTGACTCAATCCTACCAAGAAAATACCATTTACAAGATAAGTCTTTCTAAGTAAAAAATTAGCAGAAAAGATCTCCAAAGATTTTCAAGCACCACTGAAATCAGAGGGTTTGCTGTCAAATCATACATGTTAGCACCATCATCATACATAAGGCTTTATAGACTAGCACAAGCAAAGGGCTGATTATAGCCCTGAAGAGTTCACAATTTTGAAATGCAATCCTAAACAACGTTCCAGTGTCACCCATTGATGTCAGAAGGCTTGGAAAGATTCAGAATGGCAGTGTTGATCGAACGAAAGGGAAGGAGACAGGAGGGTAACCAGGAAGGAATGTATATGTGGTTATGCAGATCTGCTGATCTAAAACTAGGAAGTTCTGTAGTGCATAGGAGTATACCCTGGGCTTACAAGCTTTCTCCTGTCCCTATTCTGTACAAATGCAAGCATGCTAATCTTACAAGAACTTGGAATGGGGCACTTCTTTCTGTCAAACAACTAGTTCTTGTAAAAGAAAACTACATACAGCAGTGTATAACTGTATAGACATCAATAACTTTGTGTGCAGAGTTAATGTATGTAAACAAAAGAGTTCCAGTAGAGAAGAGGAGCAATGACCGGAGTTGAGATGGAAAATGAGTAAATTTGAAGTACGTTTTGGTAAAGTTGAGTGAGGCACTAATTTTTGTACTCTCGAACCTGGCAGTGGACTACTAGAGGAGATCAGACCAGGCATGCTGTGCAAAGCTCTCATGGTACAAATGGCAT